CCCCCCCAGATATATAGTTAAAAAATGCCATGTCTATTCATATTACTGATTCCAATCCAAGGGCTAATGCAACCATTGTAAACCTAATTAGTTTACACCAGGGGCACAAAATTGTATTTATTTGAGTTGCAAGGCCTAACTCAAACTGAAGAAATGCTCTTTGCTCAAGCTCTGCCTATAATCCCCGAGCCGACAGCGCGAAGCGCCGTGCGAGGTACTAATTCCCCCCGGCTATTTACACCCGGGGAAACGAAAGCATTGGCGAAGTCTAAAGTTCATCAATGATCGCGGGCGTGACTCACCAACGATGTTTCGGTGGGTGGTCATCCTCACTGATCTCAAAAATTTGGCGGGCTGTCATGAATAGCGGACACTGATTCGCGGGTCCAATTTAAAGTTTGCATTATAACGACTGCAAGACGACAGAGAAATAGCAAACATTTCTTGATTTGATGATTGATAAATTTCTTACAAATATATTTCATTTTTGCTCGCATTTTTGCAAGATTTTGTAAATTTCAAAAGCTTTCTCAGAAAGAAAGGGCGAAAGAATCGGCTAAAAGAAGGGAGCCGACGTTCAACGAAGGTAAAGTTTGTTTTAAATATTGATTTTATAATTGCTTTAAAACCCGACGGCTTTTGCGTATATGAAACAACTAAACAAGACAGCATATAATTTCAGTGTATCCTTTTTTATTATATTGAATTTTTTAAATAAATAAAAAAGAAAGCAAACTTATTTGCATGCGAGAATTTGAAATCATTTTATTGCAAACTCAAAGTTTATCGATAAAGCCATTTATTTAAGGGAAGCCTCACATATCGATTTTTTCCACGAGAAACGTCATATGTTCGTTTGGGGGTGGGGGGCGGGGTTGGCAGCTGTGACGTTTCTCTATAAACATCATGGAAAAATTCGATAGTTTTTATCTTTGCAGAATATAAAAAAGAAAATAATTTGATACAAACAGCAGTCTATATATTCGTAATACCATACCTGTTCCATACCTATACATTTATATTATTACGCCTTCCTTGCATTGAAAACACTCAAATTTTTAAAAAAACGCGCTAAAATTATCAATATTTCATGCAAAAAAAGTTGTTTTGAGAAACGTTGGAAATTTTGAAGTTCATACTTATATTAATAAAAAAGAGTATGTCAGCAGAAGATGACATATTCCTCGCGGAAGCATCGCCAATAGCCGACCGAAAAAATAGTAGAAAATTACCTTGTGTGTACTATAAGAACAAAATATCGATAACTATGTGTGACGTTTCTAAGGGGGGGGTGGGGGGGGGTCTCCAGAGAAACGAACATATGACGTTTCTCGTGGACAAAATCGATATGTGAGGCTTCCTTAAAGGCAGTTTAGTTTTATAAAGAACACTTTAAAACGTTTTGCGAAGCGTTTGTGGTTGAATTTTCCTTTATATTGAAGCTTATATTACGTATAATAACATACCTAACATATAAATGTTGGGAAATTGATAATTTTGTAATTAAAAGTGATATTTTTAAGCAATTTTTCATTTGTAAGAATATTCTTAAAAAATTATCGTGTTACCATGACAACTACTTTAGATACTGTTCGGAAAATGCGATGGTTTTGTCAGCAAGGCGAGGGTTTCTGCATGCATGTATTTTCTAGTTAGGGTTTATATCATAAACCAGGCAGGCAAATGGGGGGTATTCAGGGTATTGCATTAATTTGCCTTGAGCAACATGTTGAAAAGCTTGCATCAGTTTTGCCAAGACATTCCAGGGCCAGGGTCTATTATTATAGTTAAGATAAAGGGTAAAGATAACACATTTAAGGATGTTAAGCCGGTCAGAAGTGAGAAAAAGTGCAACATGCATTGCTATATGGCTTTTGAGAAATAATCTACATTATAGTAATGTGACTATCAATCAACATTGCCTTAGAATCACTCCCTATTGGTAGTATTCCAACTGATATGACAGTTGAGTCTGAAAATGATATTTGGTCACATGAAATTATATCGCCTGATTTAGAGTAGGCCCTTCCAGTGATAACATTGAGGCCAAAGTCTAATGTGCAATGAGACAACAGAAATGAGTAGCTTTATGCCAGCCTGTTAAAAACAGTAAAGAGAAGTAGATGCAATAAAAAATCAATTATTTCCAAATGAGCCAATTTGGCCCACTTTTGATAACTACCCTATGATGCAATAATAACATTTTGGACAACGTCTACTCTACACCGAACGCATTTCACTAATCTAAGATTATTACTAGTATAGTTTATTCTCCAGCTTACAGTGTCAGTGGAGTAAGATAGTTTCCAATTTAAGCAGATTCTACTTTGGAAACAGATTGAAGAGCAATACCACTTGGATCGACATTCTCTACGTCACGTGGTTGCATGCACCCGTCAGGTAACTGAAAAACAAAGAAATGTTATATAGACTCTCATATAAGTTGTAAATACTATGAAACTCCGTTAATTAAAACGATAAAAATTTGCCAATGTTAGTGAAGTGATCGTATGAACAGGGTGCCGTTCAATTCCCTTGTTATAAGCAATAGGGAGTTTAAGATGCCGACAACAAACAACAGGTACGAACAACGGTTTAATGCTAATTTCACATTGTTTTCAAATAAAATTTTAAAATTCCCTAGAGCATACGACCTAAAATCATATTCTAGTGTTGTAAAGACTATATCGATCAGAAGGAGGCATTTAAACGAATACAGGCATTAGTACCATACATGGAGGCCCATGTTTAGAACCCACCTCCCAGAAATCCTGATCGTCGAACAACTGTTGAGGTGTTGGTGAATCAAATATCTTCAGTTTCACTATAAAACCTGATGAAGTAAAAAAAACAGAATGTTCTTATAACTATCAATATAGAGCTCCATGATTATAGTGAAAATATACAGTAAACTGCCACCGCAACGCAAACGCCACGGAAACGATAAATGACTGAATTTGGATATGGGAAAGGAGATCATTTAATAACATTCCAAAGACAAGACAGAAATTATTTTATTTTTGTTCATACTATATACACTGCACGTAGTATGCTTACAGCTAAATACCTGCCTCGTCTCCAGGCGCTAAAAAAAATTTCACGTGCGACTTGGGTACGAGTCACTATATAAAAGGTTTACATGAAGTAATGCATCGCGACGAACAAGTACATTGCAAAAAAACGCCTAGCCTGTAACACTGTTGTTGAGAACAGGCCTGAACAATATTTTGCTTCCCATTTTGTTTCTGTTTGTTAACAATATTGTTCAGCATTATTCAGGTAAACAATGCTGAACAATAAGCAATTATTGGATGAGGCTGAGCATGATATCAAGAATTATTCAGACCGAGGTCAATGTTATCTGCCGAAGCGAAGCTGAGGCGGATAACATAGACCGAGGTCTGAATAATTCTTGATATCATGCGAAAACCGAATCCAATAATTGTTTTATTATACATTTAAAGACATGAGAAAAAAGTGTAAGGTCAGCTAAATATTCTATTTTTACTTCTATTTACCCATTTGTGGCTTTTTTCGTGCTTTCACTATCCTTATCTGCCAATAATTTGGAGAGTTCACTTTCATTCAGCGAAGCAAATCTGCTGTAGGCCATTGTTTGTTTGTTTTTTTCGCGCGCTTATAGGTTCAAGCTTTTGGCCGCGCAAGGGTTTGGGCACGAGAGAGTCCAATAATTGTTTTTTTGGATGCAAGTTCGATCCAAAAAAAAAACAATTATTGGACGCTGATGACGTCATCGGCGGAAAATACGTAATAAATGCCGAATACTGAAAATTAGCCGGTGCTTTCTGACCAATTAGAAACGAGAATACATATTAAATGTATAATAATATTGTTAACTAAAGAGTTAAGACTGTGTCAAAGATTAACTAAAGAGTTAAGACTGTGTCAAAGATTAGATACCATAAAGATGTGCCACTCGACGTATTTCCCTAATGTTTGCGTGTCCGTAATTTTCACTTACTGCCAAAATGGCGGCGAGACTGATGGCGTTGGATTTTACTATTTAGAGACTGATGGCGTTGGATTTGACACTTACTGGCAAAATGGCGGCTATAAAAAAATCTCGGACATAATTTTCGCAGAGTGGCACATCTTTATAGTATCTAATCTTTGACTGTGTGAAAACCGAAACTTGTCATGGGAGGCCGCGCAGTGGTCGCTTAAACGGGATTGCTCTGTTGAATAGGGGAGATAACAAAGGTACGTTATTACAATTGGAGCCTGATATGCATGTCCGCTTAAACTGGGTAATTAGACACCTTACGATTGACATTTACGGCAGACTGCGCTAACCACAAACGGAAAACTAAGTTCTACTGCCCGAAATTTTCGACAGCTCAGTGGCTAGTAATTCATGCTTTAAACCAAGCTTAAATAAAAATGCTCGTAAAACTGTATAATAACTTGTTTTATATATGTATGTAATTGAGATTTCATTATATATGTAATTGAGTAGATGACGTCACATGGTTACAAACAAAATGAAATATCTCAAGAACTAAGCATGGGAACAAAAATCTTCAAAACAAGTTATTATACAGTTTTACGAGCACTTTCGTTTGAGAAAATAAAAATTTTGATCATACTGCCCCTTTAATTTTAATTAATTTAATGCACAAATTGCCATAACTTCGAACAGTGCTTAATTAAGAGGATCTTGTCTAAAAGTACAAAAAGTGACCACGAGTGATTTCTGTGTTTGAAAATAAAAAAATTATAGACTAATTTTAAATGGTTTTTATTATTATTTTATTAATTATTTACCTTTTTAACTCGTGTTCGGTATTTTTTAGTCGTATTCAATCATTTTTTATTCGTTTTCATTAGTTTTGACTGGTGTTCACTCGTTTTCATGATTTTTTTACGATCTGATCTGAAACTCCACACGATAGCGAGCCAGAACACGAATGAACACGAATGGAACACGAGTGAATACGAATGGAACACGAGTGAATACGAATGGAACACGAGTGAATACGAATGAAACACGAGTGAATACGAATGAAACACGAGTGAACACGAATGGAACACGAGTGAATACGAATGGAACACGAGTGAACACGAATGGAACACAAGTGAGGTAGTGCACACGAGTAAAGCCGAATGGAACACGAGTGAAATACAAGTCTTAATTAAACGACTAAAAAGACTAATACGACTTATTAATAGGCCAATACAAACAGAGTAAAATTGATTCTTGTGGAGATTGTGATGTTAGGCATGGCACTGCAGTAACATCTCTTCAAGGTGGACTGCACAAAGATATATGGGGACCGGGGGGAGGTAGTAAGGCGATTCAAAACGGATTTCTTGTGAATTTGATAATTCGTAGGTATTTTCGCCCTGCCCTCCCCGTCCACCAAATATCCTTGTGCAGTCCACCCTCAAGAGATGGACTGCACAAGGATATACTCGTGATCACAAAGATTCACTCGTGTTCCATTCGTGTTCACTCGTGTTCATTCGTGTTCCGGCTCATGTGGAGTTTCAGATCAGATCATTTTTTATTTGTTTTCACTAGATTCATGAATTTGTGGCTCGTGTCCATGAATTTCTGACCCATGTTCACTCGAGTTCATGAATTCTGACTCGTGTTCACTCGTGCTCAATAATTTTAACTCGTGTTGGCTCGTGTTCATTAATTTTTGACTTGTATTCATTCGTGTTCACTCGTGCTCATGAATTTTTAACTCGTGTTCGTTCGTGTTCATGAATTTTTGACTCGTGTTCGTTCATGAATTTTTAACTCGTATTCATTCGCGTTCACTCGTTTTCAGTCACGTGTTCTGACTCGTGTGGTCTTTTAGAACAGATCTATATAACGCCGGATATGCTTGCAGTCTATATAACGCCAGAATTAATCTATTAGAATAATCTATTAATCTATTAGAATAATTTATAACTGCCTTAATTTCAGTGCTAATTGGACACCCATACTGACCTGCTATCGCTCCAGACGCGATGGAAATGCCTAGAGTTATTAAGATTGCAACTGTTTGATAACCAGCTTGTTTTGAAGACGAGCGGCCGTCCTTAGCAGCTTCAAATGTTTGTTCCAAACTACAACAAAAAAAATCTTTTTAATTAATGCCTTGCTACCACCATACATGCATTTTTGCTATTACAAGGTTTATCCAGGATATGAAAATCATTTCATATAATTATTAATTTTTACATTCTTGCATTTTACCGCTATTTTTTAGATAGAATTGAAAAAAATGAAAGAAAGAACGTTTAAAGAATTCAAAGCAGCTAAGTAGGCAAGAACGGTTCATGACAAACAAGAATGGTTCATGACAAACAAGAACGGTTGCATGGTGAATGAACAAAAGAGAAAATAATGGAAAATGGAAAAACTATTCAATTAGGAATACCTATCTTTATAATCATCGACATCAGCAAGTTTTGCAGCGACTACTCCAGCAAGTGCTCCCAACAACCCTGGCATTCCATGAAGATTGTGCACACCACATGTGTCATGAAGTTTCAGCTTTTCGTTCAGATAAGGCTGTTGCAAAGAAACGTAACTTGTTCAGAATTGTCAGTATCGCGTTTTGGGATTTCCAAGGCCTTACACAACCAAATTCGCTTTACTGCGCACTCCCTGACTCTCTTGAGTTCAGGCGCACTATCCCCCTCCCATAAACACGCCCATTACAATATTTTGTAAATCATACAGGATTACTTATCATTGCATGCAATATGTATATAGTAGGGTCAAAACCTCAAATCCCTTGACCAACCCCCGGCTAGTAAAGTTTGATGATTTATTTATGTTCTTTAGGATATTTATCGTAAAATAAGCTTCCATGCCAGTCGGGAAAGTTTGGGCACAAGTCTGTAGGGCGAAAAATGTAAAGACAATAGCATGGCGGCCATCTTGAATAAATTATTGTTTTAGCAAAGGCTATAGAATCTTCAAATAGACTTATTTCTGGACTTTTACAACGAATTCTGACATAAAACAAGCAGAAGGAACTTATTTTACGCAAACTATTCGAATTTCGCTGCTAAAACATAGTTTCGTCAATAACTCGTACTCTCGTAGTCCGGCAGAACGGTAAAAATATTCAAAAGAAAAACTAGTGTTCAGTTTGTTATAAAAGTAACAAACGTGGTATAGCGACACTTTAATGCATACTGAATAACATTGGATATAGAAACCTTCGAGATATTTCCTATAAACCGTGTAAAAATTGATTTAATGACATTTTTCTCTATTTCTCACTAAAGTACTATTATTGAGAAAAACTGAAAATTTCATGTTCATTTTTACGTAAAAACATCTATATCAGTAGATAGCTGGCACGAAAATCAATATAAGACATTTAAACCAGTAGTATGATTTTCAAACTATATTGTCCATTGTGGAGGGTTAAAGTTCCTAAAAAGTGGTGGTGTTTACCATTATGCCGGGCTACGAGTTATTGACGAGACTATGTTTTAGCGGCGATATTCGGATAGTTTCCGTGAAATAGGTTCCTTCTGCTTGTCTTATGTCAGAATTCGTTGTAAAAGTCCAGAAAAAAGTCTTTTTGAATATTCTATAGCTTTCGCTAAAACAATAATTTATTCAAGATGGCTGCCATGCTATTGTTTTTACATTTTTCGCTCTACAGATTTGTGCCCAAACTTTCCCGACCGGCATGGAAGCTTATTTTACGATAAATATCCTAAAGAACATAAATAAATCATCAAACTTTACTAGCCGGGGGTTGGTCACGGGATTTGAGGTTTTGACCTTACTAATAGCAATATATATATGCATGAATCAAAATCCAGAAACTTAACAATAGGTTTGTTCGCTATTTCTACTGTATATAAAATACTTTATACGTTTTCTTATACTTTAGGTATAAGTCAGTAACCTGTACAATTACCTATACAGGATGTTATTTCTTTGGGTATAAAAGTTAACAGCTGTACACTAACAAGACGGTACGCCGGCAAACATAATGTGACATTTCCCTCAACTTGACTAATATCTTCTTGTCCAGACCTCTCAGTAACATATATTTACCTGAACGTAGTAGAATCCGCAAACACTGATAATGCCGGCCAAAGTTCCAAGCAAGATCGCACCCCATGGTTGAATCAACATATTTGCTGTCGTACCAACAGCAACACCTCCTGCCAGAACAGCATTTTGAACGTGCGCCTGAAATGAAAATGGGCAAACCTTGAACAACTATAGATTAGAAATGCAAGACAGTACATATTTGTTGGAAATAAAAACGTAAATAAATTGAAACTATCTGAAACTAGATAAAATCGCAGTATGTTTCCAACACATTAAATTACTATTTCAATAACATATAAAATGGAGCTGGAGTGCGCAAGGCCTCGCAGCCCCCCGTTTGCCACTAAGCTATTTTGGCCCTCCAGTATAAGTATAGATCCCTTTTGTCTAAAATATAAGGGGGAAAAGGGATAATTGTATCCTCCGATGTGTGTTTTTATGTTTCCTTAACCCAACCTTATACTGGAAACTCAGTCTGTCTACGTTGAATATTTGTGTTTTAGAATGTAGGAAATCAAGCCTCAGAGGCTCAAAGTTATTATTGTCCTAGTTTGAACTGAGAAGCATAGAATTATTACATTATTATTGAGCTCACTCAAGTATTACGCTTATGTTTATGTTACTTAATTTCTTAGCTTAGAATATTTATCTTTTCAACAATTGTGATATTACTTTCATAACTGTGTTCATGTTTTTATCCTAACCCACCCTGCCAACTTGCCCTGTCGGAGGAAACCGGAGCGCCCGGAGAAAACCCACGACTTTCGGCAGAGCCTTGACTGACTCTTTTCAGGTGAGTCCGTAGCGTGAATTGAACCCACGATCTCAGAGGTGAAAGACGCTTGCTCTGACGACTGAGAAATAGAACAAAGATAACCAAGCTTGAGAATTATCGCCACGAGTGAATAACTCTTATACATAATTCTAATGCTTATAGTTACCTTAAATTGTCCTATTATATGCTTCTGGACACTAGAACAATAGTAACTAGACATGTGAGTTATCTAAAGTTGTAAATTGGATAGTAACGATACAAACAACGTTAGCTAAATTTGTCTATTATTCATGAATTTCACGAAAAGAATAATGCAGATTAGTATAAATTAATTATCGACTACTTGACTAGTAAATCTGACGCATTATTTACTACCAGACTAGTAAATAATGCTTTTCAAAAATAATGATTCGGCACATTTATTAGGGACTTGTAGTAGATCTTACCATCTGCAATTTTTCTTTATTCACAAACGCAGAAGTGGCAAAAACTGATACAGTGCAAGCGGTGAGTGACAGATAGGTGTTGATCACAGCACGTTGTTTGTCGTTGCCAGGGGCAACCAAGATACTGTTGAATGATGGCCAGTATAACCACAGGAATAAAGAACCTTCGAACAGATAATACGTCTTCATCTTAGAAGTTATATTATAAAATAGCAAAAATACTAAATTTCATTTAATTTCGTCGAATCACTTCTTTTGCTGGCATCCTTAAGTACAACCACGACGTCATAACACAAAAATACAAAATGCCCGACAATTTGGGCATGAGATGAGCTGTGAATAAATTGTTAAGGCCATTGTTCATCATTTTTAAGGTACTTTTAAGTGTGCATAAAAATTGGGGAGAAATTTTCATGTCATGTGCACGTTAAAGTGGTATTCAAGTCCATTCTGCGCATCGGTTCTGCTCATAACAATGTGGGGACCTCTAATGTGAACATTGCCCAAATTTCGAATGTTTCGAATTTTTCTGAACATAAATTCTATTTCATATTCATTTAGAAGCATAGCGAACCAAAATGGTGTTAGATATTCAGACAGCACATCATATTTTAAAAAATACAGCAGTTCAAAATGTAAACAAACCGTTTCTTTACATTACGGACTTGACTTCCACTTTAAGTTTTCTGATTTTCAATTGATCCGTGTTATCTAATTTTGTTTGACTTTCGGTTAACAGAATTGACTTCGACCCCTGTTACTCTCTTGTTTCAATGTTGATTATCGCTCAAGTACTTGGAACAATGACTTGAGGGACCATTGGAAATTACTTGCATGAATAAAAGTGAGTACAAGTAGCAAATTTCAAATTTTAAGTTTATCTAGTGTATGAGCGTAATGTCATAATAGTTTAAGCTCATTAGTACATGCAACCTTTAAACTTCTTGAATTCAGTGCCGTCAAGATTTGGCGCATTTCACAATTTTTAGTCTGCTTTTGAAAAGTCCATAATCTCTCTTTGGCAATAATTAAAACATTTAATCACATTGGACATTGAAGAGAAAAGAGTATAATAAATATCTATTATTAGTAGGACTATGTTGAATGAGGTAGAGCAAGATGTGAAGAATTATCAAGCCCGAAGTTTGTGCTATCACCGGAGCCGAAGGCTCAAGTTGATGGCACAAACTGAGGGCTGGTAATCCTTCATAACTTCCGAAAACCAATTAAATTCAATAATTGTTTTAATAATGACCAGTTCTTTTTCTAATTGCCATTTGCAGAAAATCGTTCTGTTTTTCTTTCATAAATACGTTAAACTATTTTAAATCGTCGTTGATAATTCTTCTTCATGTTTTAAAAGTTGTTTCTTTTAAACGCAAACACAGCCGGAGCTATATTAGGTGGCGCCATATTGTTTTAGTCGTGTTTCCAAATTTCGTGTTCGTATTTCCACGTCAACGTTATGACGTCACTCGTTCACTAATATTATGTCAAAACCATGAATCTTTTAAAAAAATATTAAAACACTCATAATTCATAAGCTTATTGGCAAATCATGTCATTAGATACATTTCACATATGCCGGCCGCATGCAGTTTTTCAACTTAAAATGGTTGTATTACAAATGTAGTATAGATAAGAATGTATTACCGATCATTGCAAATAAATCTGAGTGATACACTGGAGCTTCTTTTGGATTATTATTCGTATCTTCAGGTCTTCTGAGTACGAAAGTGACAGCCATACCAAAGTAACATGCGAACATGTGAACAATCATTGAACCACCTATATCAGCAACTTGCAGCTCTTCCAACACAATAAATTCATTGACTGCATACATTACGATTTCGATAACCATGATGACAAGCAACTGTATACGGCTGACCTTGCCCATGTATACACCGAATGAAATAAGAACAACTGCAGCAGCAAACAATCCTGTAATTAAACTACAAAACAATATGTTCACTGAAATTCTTGCCTAAGAAAATGATTTTACTAAGCTTGATTATATCAGGCTCCCCGTCTCAAATTCATTCATTTAGACGAAGTATGAACCTCAGGGATGGCAAAATAAAGGGAATTTCTCTTCTGTAACAAATGTTTTAGATAAAATTGTTGACCAGATCGAAAGGGGTTATAATTTATTATATCTTAAATATTTGTAATACCCCGTTATGTATGTGATTTGAAACAGTTGTTGTAGGAAGTTAAATCGAGATTTCGGGGTGTTAAATCTTTCGTCCGGACGCAGAAGATTCCATTGAGTTTAGGGGGTCTATATTTCACGATTTTCTGGGGAAACACATATGCTTCCGGATCACCTAGAGTTAGTTTCCCCCCCCCCCACAAACTACTGCATAAAGCAATCTTTCGCCGCCTATGTTATTGATTTAATTCTATATGTACGTTACTGAGATATTAGCGTAGTCTGCGGTATGATAACTCAGTCCCATCGGCCCAAAATAGTAATTTGCAGCTCATTTTTTCGCACATATCAACTGTAAGTAAATATACAAATAGTCATGCCAAGCTATTACCTCTTGATATTGATGTCAATATCAAAGCCTGTTGTTCCACGATGACTTAAGCATCCCGCAACAATAATATACCACTGGATTGAGATAGCCCCAAGGAAGAAATTATAACCAACAGAACTGTATCCGTATCTTTTTAAGAAGATGATCAGATATCCAATACCAAGAAATATCATTACATTCACATCTTGAAATGCTGTATCAAAACGAAAAATATTTATTTGAAAGATATATTGATTACTTGCAAAAACGTTAACGCGTTTATTAAAATTGATAGGTTGCAATAAGACGATGGCACATAGTATAGGGTGAGGGAGTTAATATGTTACTATAGAGACGCATAATTAACTTTAAACTCCTCATTAATAATTCATCAGGAAAACACAAAGAAAAATCATAAGCGTGTCGTAGCTTTATATGTAATAAAACTAACTCATCTTAATGAGTATGTTTATATAGCGCTTCATCTTAATTAGTATTCTTTTGTAGTCGGAGTTTAAGCCATTTAAAGCACTTGTAGTCGTGTTTTATCATCATGGGCGTACCGGAAGGAAAAATTTAGGGGGGCGAAAAGAAAATTGCCCGACTTTTCGGGATTGTGCCCGACTAGTACTGAAAAATTTTTTCCGGAAAAATTATTTTGGCGACCTCCCCCCCCCCTCCCCCCGTCGCCAAAAAAATTTCGGGCAGTGTACCATTTTAGGGGTCAAAAAATTTTTCAGGACACCAAAATTTTTCGGAACATAACACAAATTTTCGAAAAAACACAAAATTGGCCACAAAATTTACTTAATTTTACACAAAATTTACAGAATTTGTCCCATTTTTTTTAATTGCAAACCAAAATTGCCCGACTGTTGATTGAATATTGCCCGACTGCCCAACAAACTGGGG